GATGGGTGAGGCATTCCACGTATTCGTTCGCACAATATCGTATGGAACCTTAGGGTGGGGTAGTGGGTGACCCGTTTACAGCTGCAGGGGGTGCCTTCGTTTGTGGGGCTTTTTCTTTTTCGGGATTCGGTGGGGTAGCTTCTCCAGGTGGTCCACGGTCAACTTGTTGGGTTCCTTTTTGAAAATTATTCGGGCGGGAGGTGTCAAAGGGAGTCGTGGAGTGCGTTCAGCTGGCTAACATCACCGTCGGTATGCGATTTCAATCTGATGAGTGGAGGAGGTCGGATTTTGGTCCATCGGGACATAGAAGGTTTAACGCCGGCTAATGGGCTTCTGGTGGCTCGGGGTTGATGTGGGCGTTTGCAATGAGCATCACTGCTCACATGTTAAAATTCACAGTGATGGAGAGGGTTGTTTTTCTTCGATCAAGTTTTAAGAAAGGTTGAGAACATCTATCGTTGGGAAAGTGGGTTTGCGCAGAAGGGAGTCTATCTCGGAGTAACGATTGCTGAAGCTGTTTGTTAGAGTACGTTCCCTTGGCTTTAGGGGATCACTGCGAAGTGTTCTGAAGGTGATGTGGTGAAGCAATTGGTTGGTGAGACTGGTTCGTTTGTCAACCTAGCTTGGGATGTTATTAATACGGGAACAGGGGGGCGTCTGCGCGGGTTCTTTGAGGCGGTGGGAGACACTCGGGGGGCGTCCTATCTGTTAATTGTTCTGTTGTGCAGATGGATGGATTTCAGTGCGCGCGGACTATACTGCTTGGAGAAGGGAGAAGTCTGGGGGTAATACGGGCACTAGTGATTGCTCTGGGTGGTCGTCTGATTGTCAAACAAGCAATGGGGTTGTTCGGTATCGTCAGGCACCTGAAATATGCATGGTATAGTGAATTTAGGACAGAAGTCGAGCATATGCCTTTTGTTTTTGGAAGTCTTCTAGGGGTGGTGAAGTTAGTTTGCGGGCGTAGCGTGTTGGTTTCTGTTTTTGCCTGGAATGCTAGATGGCGAACAGATGATGAACAAATTGGAAGGGGATGTATATTGATATGCGGGTAGACTACTTGTGATTGGTTCGGTGTGCGCACGGCAGCATGGCTGAGTAATCATATGGTGGCGCTTGAAACTACAGGGAATGTTCGTGGAGGTGCTGCCGATGTTCAGGGAAGGCATGGGGTTGGGACGCGCGATCTTTTCGGTCTCCAACACATCAACCGGAGGGGTAGGTGTAGGTTTATTTTAAAGAGGAGATAGTTTTTTGGAGGTCGCATCTTCTCCATGAGATGGGTGTCATACGTACACTGACTTACTTGTTGAGCGTCCGGGTGCCTTGGTGGTTTGCCTGGTGGCCTTATGGTGGTTTTTAGTGGGGGAATCGGGGCTGGTGCTAATGGGTGCGCCTGCGGTTTGTCTGAGGCTCAGTCATCATTGGCTATTATTGTCTATGTTATTCTGCGGAGTTTGATTATGGGTCTATGTCGGGATCCTCGAGTGTGACAACAGTTTTTCAACGGAGTTTGCTGCAAGGATATTGGAAATGATTATCAGTAACTCGTAAAGACTCTTGCTACTGGTTTGCGTATAGATAGGGGGACTATATGTTCTGGGGTTGACTTTTGGTCTGTTTAAGATCTTGGCCTTTTTGAGTGGAATTGGGTTTGCACAGGTGGTTGGCCAGACAATGTTGTGCTGTTTTGAGCTAATTGAGGCTATGAGAGTGGTGCGTTTCAGGGGCTTCCTTCGTTTCTTTCAGTTTCCCAGGGTGGTGTGTTGGGGCGCGCCCCTAGGGGAGGGGTCTCTTTTGTTCTGGTTTGGGTCCTTTTGGGGTTGAGCGGAAAAGATATGCTCTTTGTTTTGACTCATCTCTTTCCGAGCCGTTGTTTTGTACTCTTTGATATACTGCCATCTTGGCACGTTGTCGGTTTTCTGGTTTGGTGGAGCAGCTATTACGGTTTTGCAGTTTTTCGGCTTTTTCGAAGCTGATCTTCCATCCGCTTAAAATTCTGGTGTGCAGGTGGGAATTTTCCGGTACAAAGCGGTGAGTACAGTCTTGTCCATCAGCTGTCACAGGACCACGGGAAGCTTGGCAGTGGCTGGCGCCGGTGAATTTTGGGAAACTTTTGTCCACGTATCGTAGATTTTGCTTGAAGCCTTCTTTTAACTGATCGACAGAACAACGCATTCGCAGGTTTTCGGAGGATGATGGTTTTCATTCGCTCCGAGGACATAGTGGCGTAAGGAAACGTTTTTGGGTCCATGGTGCCATGCATCAGTAGATTGTCATACCGACGGTTTATGTTAGCCTGAACGCACTCCTCGGTCTTGACATTGCCGAAAATTTCAAAAGGCTCAAAAGAGGCTTTGGGGGACCCCTCCCCCCAAAAAATTGGGAAAACATGGAAGCTGCCACCCTTTTGAAGAGTATTAATTTATGAAAGCCTTCTTCTTTCGAATTTTCACTGCTTTTATTGATTTGATATCTATTTTTTGTTCATTATTTATTTTTTAGGATTTTTTTTTTGTTAGATATTGTATATGTCTATTTCTCACAGTTCTTTTCGTAATCGATTTGTCTATTGACTCTATCTTTCGCTGTATGATCGTAGGTACGAAGAGAAATTGATGCATCTAGTTCAATTTACCGTTGGATCCGTCCAATTTTTAGTATAGATAGTCTGGGCTGGACTATGCATGGGTAATACAGGTGTAGCGCATCTAAGGAGCTTAGTCTAGCAACCAACCAGCAACTAAGTGAAAACAGCGTGACAAGTCTTTATTCATTTCAGCAAAACCAGTCGCACCACGTATCCTAATCTGTCATGTTGAACGTTAAGTAAATCCCACGTCTTTCATTTACATCCTCGCCCCGCTCCCATCTCGATTTGATTTTCACTTAGATGACTTATACCCCGAAAATCAAACATCGTGAGGGCCCGCTCTAGTAATCTGGTGGGTAGGATAAAATATCATTTTATGCACCGTTTCAAATACTCTAAATCCCTGCCGGCAGTAATTGGGGGATTTCACACTACTCCAATCACACGTGTGTTCTTCATGTGTCTAAGGTACTGTCCCTTAAATAATTCAAATCGTATCTTTCCACGAAAACTTTCGATTTCTAGCGAAGGTATTGTACACGACTTCCGCTGGCAACGCCCCTTCCCCCTTCGATTCAAGTGTACTGTTTCACTATAGGATTTCAAGCCAGGCTACACGATCTCCGCTCAATCGTATCAGCGAATTCACTCAGGCGAAGACATCTCCGCTTTCTATATATACTTTCTTTGCATTGGAAATGTATATATGCAACAATTCCTATCGAATCGATCATCTTGAAAAAGTCACAAAATCAGTTCAACAAAACCTCAAACATCCCACATCCTACCTAGCAGCCAAACCATCAGCCATCTCTCCTGCCCCCGTAACTACTTTCCTATTTGTTACCTTGCTTTGTTTGACAATGTTTGCCTTTCACATGGCAATCACTCTTCCGTCTTTCGGACTTTCAAGTGTTTCCGAACTCCTTCACACTATGTCTTCCCAAACACCCGGACATCAACACACGTCGTCGCAATCGAACCCTACTTCCGCGGGTATCAACAGCAAGAAGAAAAGGCCGGCGGCAACAAGGCAAGAGGTCCTTTCAACTCTTGTGAGTTTCACGCTGTAATTCCAGCAACCTCAGGAAGACGAAGAATACCCTTTCCCCGGAATGTTCCTCAGTTCACAGGCTTTGTTGAAAAAAAGCTACCGGGTGTATGTACAACCGACGCAAGGACCACCCGTCAACGCGTTAAACCCAAAGACATGATGGCTTTTGTTCAAGCCTCGCTGACAAGCACATGATCGAGTGGGTATTCAATTTGGTGGACCCCGCTTCTGCTGATGGGAAAAGCTCCTTATGTCCGAGGCCACCAACGGTACTCTTATGACCAAAGAGGCTTTTGTTATCATGTGCCAGAGGTGAGTTGACGGAACCAAAACTGGTGAACGTTTCTTGCCCGATCCCAACCCCAGAAATGGCTTGAAGTGGTTCAATGAACTTTAAACCGGCCTACATGCAATAAGTGTACGACCCGGCAAGAAGGATAACCCTCCAGTTCTCGACGAACAGGACAAGTGGTACAGGTCCATGACCCTGGAGTAGCTGATCACCCACTCCGACTCTGACTCACCTTGTGACGGATCCTTGGATCGATCAAGGCGAATACCGCACTGTATCCGAATTCCTCAAGGACGACAAGGCCATGTGTACTCTTTTGGCCTCGTGGTCAACTCACGGCTTCACGTATTACGTCCGTTGATTTCAACGAAACAACCTTGGATGCACGGACTTCGGTCGCATGCGGCCATCACTGGTGCCCGTCGAACATTATTACAAGCCACTACGCACGACACCATCCCCCGCCCCCCCTCTACTCCCCGTTCGCCTTCAAGCTCCCACTGGCCCTTCCCCTATGGTTTTGCACTACCCCCGGCATGACTTTGACCTTCTTGGGAACTCTTTCGAAAAGCACGCAGGAGAAGGTGGTAAATCTCCTACAGTAGCTTCCGTATAAATCCCCGTGCCCTCACTTTCAAAATCCTCAATACTGGACCTCCCAATTTATTCGCAAACATTCCAGTTCCAATGCAACCAAATACGTCTATCTCCCGTTCACTGTTCACGACCACGTCGGCCAAGATGTGCATGCATGCAGAAGATGAACTCACATGGTATAAGAAAGCGCCGAACTTCATACGACCTATTACCGAATACCCATACCGAAGAGGGGGAAAAGAGGAAAAAGAAGACCAAGCTCCGCGGAAGCGACCAACCCTCACTTAACACATACTATCAACAAAACTTTTACAACCTCATAAACCACGTTGACTTCAAAATTGCAAAACCTAAACCCTAAATATAAGCCACATGATTCATTCGATTCTATTCACCATTATCCTGTATTAGTAGACAAGTTAAACTAGTACTGGAAACGGAGACGACCCAGAGGGCATATGAATATTTTTTTCTGCAGATATTTTCCCTGAATTCTGCAGAATTTTGGGATTCTGCAGAATTGTTATAACACATCGACAACGACGATGGCGGTGCCGATCATGGACGAGATGCTGATTCAATCATTCGATGGAGCTAGTACCGGTAGTAGAGTCCTGGTAGCGTGTGGGCACTTCGGCTCCGTCCTTGGATGATCTTCATTGACACGGCAAAGCAATCATGGACGAGGCAATGAAGAAGAATGAAATGACGACGGGAATATCATACTATCTTCTATTTAGCAGCAACCAAAATTCTACTACTAGTCGAGAAAGAAACGAGGAGGAAGAGAACCAACCGTTGGCATTTTGGGGAGAGGACGAATGGACCCCCCAAGAAGAGGCAGAGGCTGAAACCGTCCTTCAACAGTCACGGGAACGATGTAGCATTCGTAGCAATGGCGTGTCCAAAAGGCCGAATGATGTAGAGGACGAACAAGCCTGGAACAGATTCTACAGCCAACACCAGACCAACTTTTTCAAAGATCGCCATTATCTACACAAGGCGTTTCCGCACGAGTTTTCTTCCACAGCAGAAGGTTCGTCATCAACGAAACGAACTCTGGTGGAAATAGGCTGTGGCGTGGGAAATGCCCTGCTGCCTCTTCTGGAAAGCAATAATGACACTGCTACAACAACAACAACAACACACAACAGCAAGGATGTCGAATGGACCGTTTATGGATTGGACTTGAGCAAAGTCGCCATTGACTGGCTCCAACAAGACGAACGATTCATCCAGGCTGCCAAACAAGGCCGAGCGCATGCATTTGTCTGCGATATTTCTGCCAGTTCCCTCCCCAACACCAGCTTGCTACCAGTTGGAGTCGCCAATGTTAGCACATTGCTGTTTTGTTTGTCCGCCATTTGTCCGGGAGAACGCATGATTCAGGCCGTGCGCAATGTGGCCAGCACCCTCCAACCCAACCAAGGTGTTTTGGTGTTTCGGGACTATGGTCGCTACGACGAAGCACAAATGAAACTGGGGACCAGCCGCAACAAGGGACTGGAAGAGGAGAATTTCTATCGGAAACACGATGGTACAAAATGCTACTATTTTACATTAGAAGACGTGCGAGACTTGTTTGAGACTCAAGCAGGTCTTGCGATCTTGGAACTAAAGTACTTGCGACGAGTGTATCAGAATCGATCGACCAACGAGGTTCGTCGGAGAGTGTGGGTTCAAGGAAGGTTCCGGAAAGTCGAAGAGTGATTTGATTCATTCATTCGATACCAGTAGTAGGGACTCATGGCTCATCGTTGTGATGATCCAATGGTTTTCTGTTTCGGGGAGCTTGTGTTCGATGCTATGTATGTTGCACAGAACAACAAACAGGGACTTTAGAGAACACTGCTCGGACAGGAGAGCGATCAGTGACGTGGAAAATTGCTGGAATATTTCGTTGGGGATATTGCTCAGTCGTTCTTCACTCTGGCAACCAACCTCCTCTATCCATAATTCTTGAACACTGCTTTGTCCTTCCAATCTTCTATCCAACCTTCCTCGCCTGGTTCAAATTTTGGTTGAGGGTCATCAAACCACGGGGCTCTCAGTGCTTTGAGTTTTGCCTCGTCAACAGAGTTGTCAGATGCTCCAACAACAGAGTAGCGGTATGCTTGGTAGTACTTCCTGCCCTGTTCATCTTCCACTATTTCCCTGACTCTGTTGGCATCCTTGAGCATTTGCTGGCGCTTGTGTTTGAGGAAAAGACGACCCCATCCTTCCTCAAAGGTGGCATTCTGGAATTGGGGACTTGCAATGTAGCTCTCAATGGCATCCAAAATTTCCTGCCGACTGGTGACGCTTGCCAAGTTGTGCACGAATACAACTGGCATGCCCTCAAAGAGACGGTGACTTAGGATATCCTGGTCCTCCACAACTGGGATGACACCCAGCAAAAACATCTCATAGGTTCTGTAGCAGTCAAACCCCATTCCTGGAGGACTAACACCAAAGCGAAATTGGCTCATTTCCTTGTAAATGTCATGAGTTTTGATTTTTTCAGTTTCCTGATTGCACGAAATTTTGTCTGTAGCAAAGGTGGGGCATAATACCTTCCACAAATCCTTGCGAGGTAAAGTGCGAACACCAAAATGAACAAAGACATCCTTATTGAAATCCAGTTTGTTCTTGGAAAGGTCCCATTTGGATTTGTCCAGGAATGGGTTGATAAAGTGGTTCAACTTCAGGTAGGGAAGTAGATTGCGTTCATGGGGGTGTTGGAAGGATAGTCCCAGGTTGAGCGGTTCAAATTTGTGAACATTCTCCCGAAAGTCGGTGTGGGTCCTGTAGATTGGATTGGTTCCATACCACTTGATCAAGAGTGGATCTTTGATGTACTCCTCATACACGTTCGGAGCGTCTCCATCAGAGCCAGTGGTGGAAATAATGTAGGGCACCTTGATGTTTGGCCGGTATTCATGAAAGAATCCAACCGTGAGATCGTTGTGATTTTCGATACCAATAATGGTTCCCGGTACAATGCAGGGCAACATGGCCTTGTCTAGAGTTCTGGCAAAGTAGTACAAGTGGTCTGGCTGCATTTTGTCGGCTTGAATTCTGCCATGTGGGAGCACCAGGTCAGACAATTCAATACCATCTCGAGTATTGATGAGTTGATGGTCATCCTGGTCCAGTGAAATTGCCACTGTTTCCACACAGCATGTCTCTTTGCACTTCTTTCGACGTGGCAACCATGGCGCCCGTTCCACTAGTGTTGCCCGATGAAAGGCGCTCCAGCTATTCTCTTGTCTTTGACCATCTGGCATGGGATGTTTCTTGGATGCCTTTTCCACTTCATCCTGCAGTTCCACGTATTTGCGATACTTGTACTGTGGCTTGTTATTGTTGTTGTCATTGTTGTCTCCTGTTCGCAGCAGATTAGTAGTGGAAGCCGAGCTGTTTGCGCCGCCTGGAAATGAAAGCTCGAACGACTGTGGCATGGTACTTTGGATCATGGCCATGAGCTCATTGGTACTGGTGGCTTCAAAGGACCCTCTTTGCGCCAACCTCATTATGGTCAAGGACGGCAACAGAACGGCCAAAATTCGAAGCGCCATCTTTGCCGTGAACAACAAAGACGGATTCTCTCTGGATTGGGCTGCCGCGGCTCGAAGGCGCTTTCGAGCGTGGTTCCTTGCCATCTTTTTATAGCAATATCTTTGAGCTAGCTGGAAGGTCAGACTGTGAGGCTCGTGTTGACGAGTTGTGGGAGGAAAATAGAAATTTGGAGACAGCTGGAGGGCCCAAATTTGGCGTTGGGTGTTTCACGGGGTCATGGGAAAAATGAGGATGACCCAAAAAGCCCCGTACCGGTACCGGTACAGTACGCTGTACCCTCATCCATTATCCCAAAAGCTCACCAGCGACATCTCTAGAGCTCTAGCTAGAAGACGCTACCTACAGTATTTGCTGGCTATGGGCTATGGAATACGTCGTGCTCCGGCGAAACAGTTTATCACCGGAATGAATGATGAGGAGTGATGCACAGCATCATACCCAAGTAGATTTCCAGACAAGTCTCGTGCGTAGACGACTGCGAAAGGATAGAGTCGCCAAGCCCAATCGGGACCTCAGGAAATCTGGATTGATTTGGTTGGCACAGATGCACGGTGGATATTGACACCTTCAACTGCATGTATCATAGCTGTGGAGCTGTATGGGTGCCTGACTGGACTTCCACAGGCCTGCTATGCTATCTTGAACCAAGGCCAGAAAGCAATAATAATGGACCTGAGCCCTGCTAATGGTGCATCGTACCGTGCAGAGAGGGGAGGATTGGATTGTTATAGTACCTTTAGACTAACTAGCTGGCTAGTAGTACTTTCAGCAAATTGTCGACTCTAGGCTATGTCCAATAATAAGATGAAGGTAGGTGGATGAAGAAAGAATTCATCATTTACTCTTCTGGTTGTCCTGCCACACTGACGAGGTTGATGCAGTATCTGTTTCCAGTTTTATCAGGGAGGTTGTGACCAAGGTGTGTCTGAAATTTCGAGTAGCAAAAGATAAAGATAAAACCCTAGTGAGCCAACTGTCATGTCCCGAGCTAGGTAGACAAAAATTCGAGGGTGGTAATGTATCACTTACTCCAGTGGTCGAGACGCATTCCCCATCCTTGAGGCATCGCACGTAATCCCAGTTGACCTCTTCGTCACGGCTGTTTAACACGAAAGCAAGTTGAAGAGTTAGTTCATGCATCAAATAGATCATTTCGCCCGTGCAAACATCCCAAAATCCCAAAAAGCGTAGGTGTAACTCACAACGAAGGCCATCCGTGTTTTTGCGATTCGACCAAGAAGTCTTCCATAGTTCGTCCCACGGGTGCCGTAAACAACTGCGCGCCCGTGACCGAGTCGTAAAATTGAATGGGTTTCTCTTCTTCCGCGAGACTCTTGAGAAAGTCGGTGGTTTGCCAATATCCGGCAAATTCGGCATAGTGTCGATTAAAGTTGCAAATGCGATCGGCAGTTCCAAAATCACAATTCCATCGCAATTTCTTTTGCACGGGTTGCGCACTGGTGCCGTGTTCCTTTTGCGACATGACGTCTTCTTCGGCCATGATGGGATACGCTTTTGCCTTGGTGGCAAAGGTGGCCGTCGCCGCTCGCGCCGATGCGGGTAGTGGCGCAAAGGCGGATGCCGATCGCAAGGCCAATGTCAGTGTCAACAGGGGAGTCAAGAATTTCATTGTGTCGCTTTGGTTGTCTCTGTTTCTAGTAGGAGGTTTTTTTCCCTATTGGTTTCAGAGGGCTTGAGTTGTGGTACCTGGCCAATAATGGAAGATGAAAGAGGCGACGGCTGTGAAAGAATGAGGTGGCGCCATCGTGAAAGTGTTTGAGGACGGAATGGGAGTGAGTCAGTCAGGATCGGATCTTTCGCCAGTCACGAATGTCAATAACCAAAGATCCATTTTTTTTAAGCCTTTTTTGGTTCCCTCCAAAGGTCTCTTTGTCACTTGTGAAGAGGACGATGGTGTGAAGGGAGCAGTCTATTCAAAATGGTATTTCGTTTACAAATAGTTTATATCCTCGGAGCTCTCGGCTTTCTATCGACATCGTTTGTGGATGGCCACTACACAAAATTTAGTAATGATGTTCTTCAAGCAGCGCAACAAAATCCTTGTTCCTTGAATGGAGATCTGGTAGAAGAATTGCCACCATTTTCTGTACATGGAGTGGAAGGAAATCACTGCATCTGCGACAAGCCATGGAAAGGAGTGGATTGTGGGATACTGGATGTTCTACCAGTCTCCTTTCCACAAGGATATGGCATGCTACCCAACAAGACCACCTGGGGGGCCTCTCTTCTCCACGTCAGCAATCAATTCCATCTCTTTGTATCCTCAATTACGGGGGACTGTTCGCTCCGCAGTTGGCATCCCAATTCCAGAATTGAACATGCCGTGGCCGATACCATTACTGGTCCCTATCAATTCCACGACATGGTGCTGCCCACCTTTTCCCACAATCCCAAGGTTGTGGCACTGTCATCCAAAAAAGAAGAAGACACGCGATTGGCCATGTTTCATATTGGAGATGCCATGGGACCCGATAAAGCCAAAAAGGGAGACTGCAAGAAAAAATCCATCACGCCATTCTTGGACACTGCTACAACCATCAACAGTCGGACACTGTTGGACAATGACCAGACGTTCCAGCAAGAAACTGTCGTTGGAAAAAGCAGTAGCATACATTTGGCGACTTCTGTCCATGGTCCCTGGACACCCTTGCTCAACAATACACTGATTGGATGCAATAATCCAGCTCCGTTTGTGCATCATCCCACTGCCGACAACAACGAGCCACAACAGGATGACAGTAGTATTGAACCCGGTATCTATGTCGTTTGTGGTCGCGCCAATCACAGCACCCTGATGCACGCACAAGACATCTGGGGGCCGTGGAAGACTGTGAGTCAAATCACGCCCTTTCCCGAGGACGACGACACTTCTACAACAAGCACAACAAGCAGTCTGCACTACGAAGATCCCAGCTTGTACATTGATCCCAAGCGAGGCGCCTTTCATGTTATTTATCATTTGTACGATACACAAGAAAATCCTCCACATGGACATGACTGTGTCCAATCGACCGTGTCGGCACATGTCTTTTCTAGCGATGGCATTCACTGGTACAAGTCACTAGGGCAACCGTATACGACCCAAATTCCCGTGGAGGATAATGATTCTGCAACAACGACGACCACCATTACAGTAGCCACACGAGAACGGCCCAGTCTGGTCTTTGATCCTACGACAAAGGCCCTCACGCACTTGATCACGGCGGTCTGTAGTGCCGAGAACTGTCCCGACGGACCACCGCAGGGATGTGTCAATTGCAAATACGATCATTGGGATTATACACTTGTTCAACCATTGAATCATGTGTAACAACATAAATCTATACTTTTATTGATTGCGGCAACTAGATACAAGACACCGGCTTCCGATGTTGTCTTCATGAGATGCACCCAATCAGGGTTGCTGTCCCAAACAGGGGCATGGATGAATTGATCTTCCAAATAGGACACGTTGTACTCTAGGCAAACTCTCTTCGTGACAGCAGCAATCCAATACCATGGGACTCCTCCAATCCATAGAGGACAGGCTCCACCAATTCAGCCACTGGGTTCATTGTAGTGGATGGGACTGGCATAGTAGATGTTGGTGGTTACACCGGCAAGAAATGCCGGCCCGCAATTGGTGCTTGATAGGTGGCTGTCATGGTAGTGCCTGGGCCATTCTGGTCCCTGTTCCAGGTCCAATTCTGAAGCAACATCAATGATCCCCAAAGCCTTTCCATGAGACAGGGCTGTGGACTCTTGGCTCAATCCGACAGGGCAACCATGATTTGAGCACTGTGAGGGAAGTCTCAAGAGCAACGCCACAATCACCCTGGACAACCCCACCAAGAAAACGCTGGCAACATGCTCAGCCACGGAGTTTTCGCGTGTGGCTAGCGCGACAAATCCCCCTTTCCTACCCTGTCGGAGTTAGTGCCAGGTTCAGCTTGTTCCTCCCCGTCTTCCCGGCGATCAAGGAGAGGCACGGGCTCTGGCTCGTCATCCGTATCCCCGTGTAAGCTCTAGAGATCCAAAAAATCCTTCTTCGAATGCACAGGTTGCATTGTGCGCCAAGTCCTCTCTTTGCATCTTCCCTTTCGAGCAACTCAACCATGCTCAAGAGGACAATACAGAACAAGAAAGAATCCGAGACAACCCCCCCCGATTCTGGGACGTCGATGGTTCAACACTGTAACGACCGATGGGCCATGTTCAACACTTTAGTGACTGATGCACATCGAGGAGCAGAGGGAAAGTACACAAACGACAAGTCGTCATTGCTTCCGAAACAAAGTTGACGAAATGACGTCTCATTATGGGGACCACAACCAACTCATTGAAGGAAGTGTAGCTGCATGCATCTGGATATAATATGTTAATCTCCAGTCCACCCATGGTATTAGATGGCCTACAATGGCCATTCTGTTCAGTAGAGTGTGTTTTGGAGACATGTGACCTATCTGTGTGGATCCATTATTTGTACTTATTCCTATATGGGATCAGCAATACCAGATTGGACACATCAATCTTCGCCACATGAACGTACCTCGGGCCAATGTGTTTTCCTGATTGCTGCTTTGTAATGGGAATGGGGAATTATTAACGAATATGTTGCATAGAT